TCGGCCCCGCCCCTGCACCAGCCCCGCCCCCACCTTTACCTGCATAGAATTCAGGCCCGTAGACCGCGCCCACCACCGGGTTCAGCTTCCAGCCTGGAACAGAAGCAAGAGCCCCATCAGCGGCTTCCGGATCCCTTCTCCCCCCCACCCTACGCCTGGGACTCAGGGAGACAAAGCAGCGGGCTGACCAGGCCCTCCCCCTGCAGCGCCGCCCGCCCTTGCACCCTTGCGCTCCTGGCCCTTCCACCAGCCTCCTCCTGAGTCTCTCCAGTTGCTGCCCTCCCCAGGCCTTTCCCGGGCCACCCAGGACACGACCCTCACAAGCCTGGGGCAGCAGTTCCACAGAAGAGAAGTGGAAAGGGAAGGTGGGACGGTTACAGGACCAGCGGGGCTCCCGAGGGATGCCAGTGTCCTGTGCCACACGCCCATGAGCTGCCCCAGGTGAGCTGCCCCAGGTGTGCAGCCCCTGCCCAACCTCCCACCTCTGCCCTGAGCCCCAGGGCTCCCTTCCCCCTGCCAAGTTCTACTCCCACTGTCCTCTGGTCCCCCGTCCTTGTCTTCCCCAGAAAGGGAGATGCCGAGGATGCTGGCTAGCACTTCCCGATGGCTTCGCACCAGCGGCTGGTACCACTTGAAACCTGTGGGGCCTCCCCTCGGCTGTAAGGAGCTGTCACCCCCCCACACACACACACACACTGTACAGACCGGTTTAGGGAGGCTCTACCACCTGTGTCGCAGGTTGGCATGTAGCCCGGGGAGGTTTGAAGGTGGTGGTGGGGGAATGGACTTGCACCCACCGGCCAACTGGTAAGATGTGTCTAGACAGGGCGGCAATGGGCCCAGGCCAGACTCCAGGTGGGACCCTGAACCCAGGCTGTAAAGGCTGCGCCGTGGTGGGCAGACAGGAAGTGTCCAGGACAGGGCATTGGGGCCTGCTCTTCCGGGACCCCTTCCATTCCCTCCCCTTCCGGGACCCCTTCCATTCCCTCCCCTTCACCGTCACATTTATCTTCCATAAATTCTGATGCGGGCACAGAGCTGGGTTTCGTCTTTAGGAAAACCCCAGCCTTGGACCCTCTTCTGAGCTCCACGCTCTCAGTAAAACGCATGTGATGGAGCCGAGCCCTGGAGACTCCGGCCTCCCCAGGTGCCATCCCAGTGGCTTCTCTGGGCCCATTCTGGAGGCTGAGTATCTGTCTCTGCGCACCGTGACCTGTCAGTTCTGGCTTCCTGCGCAGCTCTGCTGGCCTCTGCTGGCCCTGTGTCACTGCCTGGAGCCTCTGGTGACAGAGGCAGCCTGAGGCCCACCTGGACGGGCAAAGCTGGTTCGTTTTCTACAGTGGAAGCGTCTGCCCCATGTTATGTAGTTCAGAGTCTCTGGAGTGTTAAAGGAGTCATGCTGCAAAGGCCACCAGAGCCCATGTGCCTGGCTTCTGTGCTAGCCTGCGGGGACCCAGGGCTGTCCCTTGCACCTGTGGCTATTCTCGCCCCAGAGAAGCCTCCCAGTGAAGCCAGCAGACACTGCAGTGTCTGCACAGATGCCAGGGTGGGTCTGGTCTCTTCTCACACAGCTGCCGTGGCTCACATGCCAGTCCTGGGCCACGGCGGGGTGTGCTGGCCAGGGCCGATTCTGTCCTGGACCCCAAGCTCTCCAGCTCGCTTCCGCCCAGAAAGCAGCGGCGTGCGGCTCCTGAGTGAAGGTGGGCAACTGGGCCCAGCGGTTCCAAAGCCCGGTTGGTCAGCCCTGCCCTGTGAGGTGCTTCCTGCTTCTATTTTTCATGCCAAGCACCACAGACGTCACACCCAGGGGACACAGTGCACAGAAGTCGCTGGGGCACCCAACGTTTTCAGAAAGAATTTGGGATTTCAGAGGCCTCAAAACTGCAGCGTGTACGGTACACAATGGTAGGTAATGCAATGAAGCCTAACTGGCCTGCCCGGAGGCCTGGCCTGCGTGGGTCTGATGCAGCACAGAGCTGGGGCAGCACATGGTGGGTCCCGAGGCAGGTCCACCATGGTCCTGCCCTGGGCATCTTCACTGGCTGGTCACCTAACTCCACGTGCTGCTGCTCAGGGACATGAGAGGCTGGGCTGACTCGGTCCAAGAGGCCAGACCTGCTGGGAGACCTGGCCTGCCCACGGGCATCGGCTCTTCCCATGGCTGAGGGGAGCAGCCGTACTGCCGCCGGGAAGGCCCTGGCCCACCG